TTGTTTCATACGAAAAAAAACCTGTAGCATTTTCGCTGGATTTAGCAAACTTGAGGGGGGTGATGTGCCCACAGGGTGGTGGTGCTATAGATGAGGGTGGGAAACCCAAATAATTTATTTTCCAACACAAATTAAGCTTCATATCTCTACATAAATGGGAAAGTGTTAAGCTACGGTTATTTTGGTACATTGTCAAAGTTTACCAGGTCTTATGAACGGAGGAAAAGTCAGAAGCTGACACCATATCTTTGGTATTTGGAGTGCGCCACAAAGTTCGTGGGAATATGATGGCATTCTGACTTTTTTGTTGCTAAGTGTTCTTATTATTATTATTGCTTTTGCCGGCGCCGCATTCGCATACTGATAGTGCCCTCACTTTTCCTTATTTAATGCTGAGGCCTAGAAACATATTATAGGATTATTGCTGCATGGTGGTCGGCTCTGATGCGCTGCGCGGGAATGGCAGATTTTCGGATTATTATGTTGTTTGTCCCTGTCACTTATTTTTTTAGTGTGCGCTTTGTAGGGGTGGATTCTATAAATAATGTCAAAATAGCAAAGGGTGATGGTGCAGAAGGTTTTGGTTGTGGAAGGCTTGCCTTTCGGGGGTGATGGATTTCCTGAGGGTCGTGCTACTCTTTACCTGCGTTTTGATGTTTTTTATTAATTTCACTTTATATCAAAAAATTGGATTTAGAGCGAACTATAAAATAAATAAGAGTAACATTTGGGGACATTTTCATTATCCTGTATTTTTCTATAAGACAATTTAACCAATATCGAAATGCTTGTTTTTATGTGATTTACTGACTTCTGTTTTTATTTTTCCTTACATAGTCGGCCTCTAAAAATGATTCGTAGTATCCAAATGTTACTACCATTATTTGAAAAGTGTAGTTTTAATGGATTAAAAATTATGTATAGGAAGGTGCTACCTTTTAAGTTTAGGTTGCTAGCGAGTGTCATGCTTATACAAAGTAACCCCCAAAATTTTATTTCTAAAAGCTAATGTACTTTATACTTGAGGAATGATCCGTAAAATTAACTATTCAATTATAAACAACTGTTCTAAATCACTTACTTGGATTTCGTTTAGCGTGAATAGTAAAATAAAATGAATTACTACAGAAAAACAGATATATGAAGCTTCAGATTTATTTAATTATTATCCAATTGGAATAATGCAGTTTCTTTGTATTTTTTTTCGTAATTTAAGGTTGAATAAATTAAGTTTAAATATGTCTTTGTAAAAGGGTTGCAAAATAACAAACAGTTGAGTGAGTGCTGAATATATAGTTCATTCAATGCATTAGGGCTTACTTTGGAGTGTTCCGTTAACTTTTAAGTCTCACTTTGGCCATATTCAGCTTTTTTGTCCTTGATCATGAATAGTTTTCTGATGAGTTACTGACAATACTATATAGGAAGGTTTCAATATGTCTACTTATAATGAGATCTATATTACATTTTAATTTTATATTAAATTTTAACTGTTATGAGTATATGAAGGCCTATTCACCTGTTTTGTGATTATAGGTCATAGCTGTGATACAGTTGATTTTTATTTTAACACTAGTAAATTATTGATTTCAAGTGAGAATTATTGTATCTTCCATTTGGATGTTCCAAATAATATCTCAGAGGATAATTGACTTTCTTGAATAATAAATATTAATGGTTCTGATAAAAAATAGTGGTGCGCTTTTCATTGCATGCTAATGTAACACTTTTATCCATTGGTTTTCATTAGAAGCTCAATCTATGGGATGTACAGAGTCAATAAATTTTGGCACCGAATTTATTCAAGGATTATGTAGCACATAATTCTTTGGATGTCTACCATTGTTAAGCAGGGCAGTTGCTGAAAATAAAAAGAAGTGAGCGTTATAGATTTGCATAGTGATGAAGTTGTTGTAGTGTTACTTTGTCGCAAAAGTCATAGATTTCTGTGTTATATTTCGACAAACCAAACGGTTTGTATTATTGACTTTGGGTACAATTATGAGCAAAGTTATAATATATTATTTAGAACCCCACTCTCAAAAAATAATACTAAATAAATTTAATGTAGTAATAATAAATATTTATATGCTGCGCTTTTCATAGATTCATTATTAAGCAAATAAGTTTATCTACAATTCTGGAGTGATGATTTAAAATTATTGTCTTAGCCGTAAAGGGTAAGGTCAAAATTGTTGGTATAGATTGCTTGGTGAATTTTTTGTGCTTAAACATGAAGGTACTTCTGAGTCTGTCAAAGTTTTTTATCTGTTTTCAGCATACAGTTTAATTTTTATTCCCAATATACAAATGGAAATTGGGTTTGTCTGAAATATATACACTTTCTTATTATCCAGGTATTTTTGTCCAGTATAAATTCTGATTCAAGTTTTTAAAGTTATTGATGGCTTTCGCTGTTTCACAACTAGTCCCGATCTCAAAGAGGAATTTTATTGAGTATAGAAACGCTCTTTATTTTCTCAGCAATCTATGTTATCAGCTTGATGAAAAAGAGTATCGATTTGATATCAGATGGCCATAATTTTGGTCAGCAAAGCAACATTTTTTCCCCATTTATATCGCATTTATAATTTGAAAAATATCGTGCTGGCATTCTGAATGTTTGTGTGGTTATTTTGATTGGGTTACCTGAAACCGATATCATTGACACTTTATAACAGAATTCGTAGATTGAGAGAAATTTTTACAAAAAAACAGGACTGAAATTGAAGAAATCATGAAAATGATACGCTTAAAGGAAGAGGAAATATTTAAGACTACCTATTAAATGAAAAAACTTTTGAGCAAAAGTTCAAGGGTCTTAAAAATGATTTAATTAGATTCAACTTATTTTAAATGTGCATCTTGAATATACTTGTAGTTTTTTACCTTTTTTTTCAATTTAATAAATTGTATATATTTATTTAAAACGTGTTTAAGTATTTAGTATCATTTTTTCAAATATTTTAAACCTAAACGATACTTCTTTTTAAATCCTATTATTTTCAAACTTGTTCTGACTTTTTTTATATATTGTATTTCCAATATTATGTTGCGTGACTGTACTATCTAGATTTTATATTAAGAAATCAATGAAGCAATTACTTAGCCCTCGAACAGCACGTCATGCTCGCTTATTTCGTCTTGTTTCAGAAATGACTTCAGCTCCTTTGAGTGACGGTGAGAAGCTTGCGTGGGTTAACTCACATATAAAGCGGAATGAAGATAAAGAGTTATCCAGAGAGGAGGAGGAACTACGAGAGCCACTAATTCCACTTGATGTTGGTGAGAATTCCATGACTACTAATAGCCAAGCTAGTCATGGAAACCTATTTCATTTTCGCGATTATCCAATGTATCCAGGCGAATACGTTCCTCCACTACACAACACCTTATCATCTTTACGTGACAATTTAAAATTTGAATTGACAGCACAATCTTTAAAAGAAGCTTGGATGCGCATTAGTGAAGGGATGTTTTTTAATTCAGTTCATGATTACTATTCTTCTGTTGACGGGTTGGACGAGGAGCAACTAGGTGAAATTGTTTCTGCCCTTCTTCCGGATTTGAATTCGTACGAGTCTCGAGCCCTAGTTCTTCATATTCTTGAGATTTTAACGAAGCCAACAAACTCACCTTCACGCCAGTTAGGTCAAGTGATTACTGCTGATGCTGTTGGACTTGATAACGCTCCTAGCCATTATACCAATTTCCTCGAATGGATGGGCCGCATGGCAGAAACACAGGCTTTTAAGACTGAACATGCACTTTTTGAGTTCAGCCGAAGAAAGTTCAATAAGAATGATGTTCAAATAATGTTTGAGAACTACAACCTTATGAGCAAAGCAACTATTGCGTTGGACAGTGCAGATAGCTACAGTCATTTTTATACAGTGTTGAAGGATTTTTCGCGAAAAGTTGCTGGTGAGGATACACGTCATCAGATAGGTGTCCGTATTGACGAAGAAGAAATAGACTTAAAAACTGGGATAGCTGTAGGACATGGGCGAGCAGACGGCGAGAAATATATTTTCACAGCTTTGATTCGTGAAAATAGAGATCATAATGGATCTGTGACGTTACTAGGAAAACCTCTTTCAAAGATTTTTGATAATAAATCTTGGTTGATGGAAATGGTTTTAATGCCATTCGATGAGGCGAAACTGAATTATCGTGATTTTGATGTCAATATTGTTTCAGAGGGAAAAGCAATGCCTTCGTTGGCAAATGATATCGCAGCATTTGCGTGTCGGATGGCTGTTTCAAATGCCATTACGAAACTTATTCCGTTGACGCGCATTCCTATCAAGAAAGCAGGCCTGCTTTCTGTTGACCGTCGAAGAGAACCTGGACAATTTCCTGGTTTTGTGGATGGTAAGAAAAAAAAACGAAGGTTTACAAAACGCTAACACTTGTCTTAATATATGTGCAGCATTGAGTTTACCTACTTTTCGCTTCTTTAACATATTTCATATAAATATGACCGAGGTTTGACAATATGTTGAGAATTTTTTCTTGGCTATTTTTTTTTTCATAATCTTCAATCTATATCAATATGGAATAGACTAAAAGAAATATGATTGCATTTCTCTTTCTAGCAGCGGTGATTTGGGGAGTTACAAATCCATTCCTGAAGCAGTGTAGCGCGGGCATGAAACTAGGTGGCTCACTGAAAGATGATCTAAACTATTTAATACGATGTCCAAGGTATCTTTGTATCCAGTTAATAAATATAAGTGGGTCTTTGTTTTTTTTTATGCTCTTCGAGAAGTTGAAGTTTCGATCGGATCCGTTGTCGCTAATTCATTGACATTTGTAATAACTCTTTTGACGAGCTGTTTCATTTTTAGTGAGGGGACTTTGAGAATCCAGACCATCATCGGCTGCACCCTAGTCATGGCCGGCACGGCATTGTGTACACTTTTCCGCACTAGAGGATAAATTGATTCACAACTAAGGCTTTGTGTTATGATTCTTACATTGTAAGTTTTTCCTTGTTTGTCAAACTATAGATTTGACCCCACTGTGCTATCTTATCTTTTTAACTCTTCTTCAGCTTTTGCGATTGGGATAATCCCGACGCATGAAAAAAATAGTTTCTCCCAAGCGTTGGTCTCAACTCAACCATGTCGAACATCCTCCACTGATGATGAAAAGACTTGTACAGGCAGCTTGCGGAGGCCTGAGATGGATCGAAACGAAGAATATGGCTCAATATATCGCACGATGCGCGATATCTGAAGGTTTTCACTCGACACAAAAACAACGAAAAACCTTGGGTGATTTCCCTAAGAAGTCATCCATTGGGAGTAACAAGCAGAAGGTGCATCAAGATGCCATGATACTAGCCTCAAAGAACCAACTTATGAACTCTCCTGCAAAGAGGCAACGTGTGATATTATACGATGTTTTGGACTGTACGTTTGGATCGGGTTATCATTCAGGGGCGGTTTTGGAAAATGGAAGCCCTTACACCCGCGTTGTCGCATTGGATTGCGATGTAGCCACTAGGGTGGATGCACGTGAAATAGTTAGCGAGTTTGGCGACGATCGTTTTTGCTTTTATTGTAATCGAATGTCAGAGTCCTTGAGTATGTTTGGTGAGCGCTCGTTCGACGCAATCATTATTGATCCTGGGCCTTCAGTAACGCAACTAGAGGACCCAGAGAGAGGTTTTTTACTTGACATTGACCACTGCCACGATTTTGATCTCCGTTACGCCATTAATAGTGGTTTAAGTGCTTTACAGTATCTGAATTCGGTGCCTCAAAGCACCTTATCCAGTGCGCTTCAATCCTACGGTTTGCTTTCTCCTGAGCAATCCATAAAAATGGCGCGCGCAGTGCGCACCGGTAGACCATTTCAAAACTCTAATCACCTTTTAAACATCATTACAGCAGCAGGATTTGGGCTTCCAGAGGATGGGTGGGCGTTGCAAGGTAGTTGGAAAAAAGCATCTATGTCATGGAAATTTCTCACTTCACTTCGGTGCATTATCAATAATGAACTGAGTGAACTGGCAGAAGCTGTCAAGAATGCGTTTCTCATGCTGCGAAATAGTGGTCGCTTGGTTGTCATTTCGCGCATGCTGTGGGAGGAGGAGTTTATCAGCAAATTCATTCAATCTCATCCTCATGCACTTTTGTGTTATAAAGAGGATATTGATTTGGATGATGTACAGCGATACGGACACACTCGACACACAAAGATGTGGGTGGCTTCACGCATCGACAAATCCGCTTATGTTTTAAAGAACGCAGCTTCGCTCACTGTGGAGGATGTTCAAAAGAGTTCTGTGCAATGGATGGCTGGCATGTTTGCCAGTCAAACACATGGATTTCCCGCGGACAACTTTACTTTCGAGAATATGGACGCGAAGGAGAGAAGAATAAAGCGACGTAACGAAAATCCGCCCCCTTTTGACAACGATAACGATTATTGAGGGATCTTATTGACTGCTTTTTTATTATCATCCTTTATTTTGTTATTGGATGAATCAATTAACAAGATGAGATGGATTTGTTTTTCCCTTTATAACGAATTATATATTTGCCTAATATATAAACGTATATAAACTGATTGAAGATGACCTTTTTTTGACATTACTTATCCATTTTTTACTTCTTACCCTCAACTACAGCTAAGTTTAATGTTTAGGAGTGTTTGATCTGAAATAAGTTTTCTATACCCACAATTTTCTTAGTCCAAAACGAAAAACACAAATAAATGAATCGAACATTGCTAAAGAATGAGGTTTAGTTTTATGGGATGAGTGTTCAAGTGATTCAACTGTCTAAGTTCATATAATTGATAGTCTACCACAATGTTAGATCGATGCAATTGCCATCAAATTTTCATGAATTATCAAAAGGACTATCTTTGGTTACCACAAACGTGACCCCCCAATAATAGGGTTGGGTTTTGTGTATTTTTGTGACCCATTGTTGGTTTTCTGTGCTGATTGGGACATATTAAACAGAAAAGAGGTAGTTGTTTCAGGAATCCACACTACTTCGAATGTGGTTGTTGACTTGAGGGTCAATGTTTTTTGATAAGAGTTTGATAAAGACAGATATGAGTGTCTTAGGGATTGCATATGAAAGCTTACGTATCTGCTTTCAGTTACCAGTTGTAAAAGGGGTGATGGGAATGTACTGTTTCTGATCGTTTTCAAGGTGTTTAAAAAGAAAAAATCACAAATTAAAAGTGTGTATGTATATTTAAGTTTTTTCCTTATTGCCATATTTCACAAGTAGCATCAACAACGAAGAATTAAAGTAGGTAAAATCATATATATATATATATTTCAGCAGAAATGATGATGAATCAACAACAGCCAGTTATCGTGCTCAACCAAAAAGTTGAGCGTGAATCGGGCCGAAAAGCACAAATGAGCAATATCGAGGCCGCCAAAACTGTTGCAAGTCTTATCAGCAGTACACTTGGCCCTTGCGCGATGCTGAAGATGATTCTAGACCCAATGGGTGGCACTGTGCTCACCAACGATGGCAACTCCATTTTGCGCGAGATAGACGTAGTGCATCCGGCGGCGAAGCACATGCTTGAACTGGCGCGTGCTCAAGACGAGGAGGTTGGTGATGGCACCACCACGGTTATCATACTCACTGGGGAGATCCTCAGCCTGGCGCAGCCCTTGCTGGCACGCAATATTCACCCGCTTAAAATTGTGAAGGGCTTCACGTTGGCCCTAGCTGACGCCTTGGCGGCTGTGGAGAAGATCGCCACAACGATCGATCCGACCGATAAGAAGCAGCTGGAGAAGGTTGTATCCGCCTGTTTGGGTACCAAATTCAACTCACGTGAGGAAGTTTTAATGTGCCGTTTGGCAGTTGAGGCAACACTTCGTGTGGTACGTGAGGACAAGATCACCGGTACAAAGGACATCGATATCAAACGTTATGCAAAGATTGAGAAGATTCCTGGTGGGTCTATACAAGATAGCGAGGTGTTGGATGGCGTCATGTTCAACAAGGACCACATTCACTCGAAGATGCGGCGCCGCATTGAGAACCCTCGGCTGATTCTTTTGGACTGCCCATTGGAATACAAGAAGCCGGAGACAACGATTAATGTCGAGATCACTAAAGACACAGATTGGGAGGCCTTGTTGAAGCAAGAGGAGGACTACGTACGCTCGATCTGCAATGTAATTATATCCTTCAAGCCTGATGTGGTGATCACGGAGAAGGGAGCCTCTGATCTGGCGGCGCATTTCTTGTATAAAGCAGGGATTACATGCATTCGTCGCTTGCGCAAAACAGACAATAATCGTATTGCCAGGGCTACCGGTGCCACCATTGTTAGCCGTGTGGAGGAGCTAACGAATGAGCACATCGGTAAGGCAGGGTTGTTTGAGATCAAGAAGATCGGTGATGAATACTTTACCTACATCACAGGGTGCCCTGCGGGGACGGCGTGCAGCATCGTACTTCGTGGCGCTAGCAAGGATATCCTGAACGAAATCGAACGAAACATCCACGACGGGATGTGTGTTGCGCGCAACATCATTCTCGAGCCTCGTATTGTGTACGGGGCCGCCGCTTGCGAGGTCCAGGTCTCCGCGCAGATGATGGCGAAGTCCAAGACGATTGTGGGGGTGGAGCAGGCGGCCTACCAGGCGGTGGCGATCGCACTCGAGGTGGTGCCGCGCATTCTCGCCAGCAACTGCGGGGCCAATGTCATCCGAACGGTGACGGATCTTCGCGCGCGGCATGTGAACCCGGACGGTTGGTTCTGGGGGATTGATGGCGTGTCCGGGAAGATTGTGGATGTGCGAACGATTAAAGTGATTGAGCCCGCGGCAGTCAAGGTGCAGGCTCTGAAAACGTCGATCGAGGCCGCTGCCATGATTTTGCGCGTAGATGACGTTGTGTCAGGGACTAAACTTCGTCAAGGGCGTGATGCGGAGGCCCCTAAAGGGAAGGAACAACCTGATGACGACCCGGAATCTGCTGCTGCAGTGGCGGCCGAGTAAGGTATGTAAGCTTTTAGTTCTCTTAAGTGCCGCCATTTTCATTAATTTAGATACACATTGTATGTGGTAATGAGTTTCTACTCTGGTCAGGATCTAAGGAAAGGATATTTGATAAAATCCAGGGTAAAATAAAAGGAGAATATCAACCAAGTGGATATAATGGATGAACGTAATTGCAATTTAGACTTTCTTAAACGAGTTGTTCTATTGTGTGTTTGACAAATGCGCCAAAATTGATAAAGTGAGAGGAGAACAAATGAAGGAGTGAATAAATGAAAAACATTTGGAAAAGTATTATCGACATCCAATAAACTAAAAGAGTTGTATTTAAGACTAACAATAATAGTCAAACTGGAGGAATAAACACAATAGACTTAATGAGGATTATTATTATCACTATTATTATTACTATTAAGCATCACCATATTAAATCCGAAACCTGGAGTACTTTGCGTTTTGATTTTTAAGATTCATTGTTCCCTTTTGAAAACAATTTCATCTTTGTTTCTGATACTTTTTTTTGACATCCTTTTCGACCTGTAGTAGGACAAAGCTTGTTTCTGTAAAGCGATCAACGTAGAAAAGGGAAAAGGTTACAAGGGCAAAGTTACAATATCCCAGGTTGATACCATGTATTTTTCTTTCTGGTTGTAGTTTTTCAATGAGTGTTCCCTGAGTTCCAATACTTTGATGAGGTTCACGAAGTCAATCACTATATGATTTCTTGTATGGTAGCTGCCTTTGTGGTGGATTAAGGGTTTCTATAAATTTGAAGTTTCGTATTTGTGAAGCCTTAGTGCATTCATGATGAAAATAAGTTCTACTGACATGCTATTTTTGGAGGGAATATACCGCTGTCACGATAGAGATTATCAAATGGTGAATTTTGCCTCGACAGTTACAGTCTCTGAGTCTAAGTTCTGAAAGGATTATATATGTGTCGTTCTGTAGCTTTCTACTACATCAGTAATTCACCATATTTACCAGAATCCCAGAGAGACAAACTGCTTGTAAGTGTATTCTCTTTGGGCGTAAGACCAGGCTTGATTTGACGTTCCGTGCGATTAGCTTCTCTTGACGTTGTTTTGTCAGTTTTAATGGATCGTTGTAGTAGTCTAAATTGTAGTCAAGCTGACTCTCCATTGATTTCATGACTAAGGCCTATGGAAGGATGGGGAAGATAAAAGTAAAAAAGGGGCAATAATTATACATTTCCTCTTCTCACATAAGTTACATTTTCACTGATGTATGGTGTGTACTTAACTAATCTACTTCCTTGCATTATTGAGATGTTGGACTATTTTTATTTATCATCATTGCCTGTGTTCGTATAGAGGCGTAAAAAAATAACCAATATAGAATAGAGTTTGATTTTTCTCTATATTCTGGAGTTATTTTCTCAAGACTGGTCAAACTTGATTTCTTTCCTTGGACATCGATACTACTTTTAGGGGCTGACTTCTTTAGAATTACTTTTTTTTATCACATCTAGATATGCTTCGCCTTTTTGGTTCGTTATTAAAAAAAAAAATTACCGAACAAGGGTCGGTGGTGGCTAAGGCAGCGTCTAAGCCCAAAAGTGTGTCTACGTCTTTCTCAGGAACTTTGGTTTCTTTTAAAAGAGAAAAGTCGCCGGGTCGCCCTAAGAGTGTCGGTAAAGTTTTGACCAAAGTTAAGAGCCTTTGCACCCGTGAGAAGTCAAAATTGAAGACTGATAAATCTAATTCTCTTGGTACTAGCGTTAGAAGTAATAGATCGCCTCAAAAGGGAACCGCCAAGGTTTCTCTTTCGGGAAAGTCCAACAAAAAGTCCGAACAGGAGGTCAAAACCGTTTTAGAGGATGATGCTGCAGGTTACGAGAATGAAGATAAAGACATCAATAATGAGGATACCCAAGATTTGCTGCGGCCAGCGTACATGTCTGAAGAACTGGAGACGAAAGTTCTGAATATGGCGGAGCGGATGCAGACACGTGATCTTAGTGGGGATGTTCCTGTTGCGTCGTTTGCTTATCACATACTAAAAACACACCCGTCCGTGCGTAGTATGGGTCTACGTGAGCGCATGGATTTTCTTTGCAAGCGATGGGAGGCACTGAGTGAAAAAGAGCGTCTATCATATTTAAACCATCCGTTAAAGGGGTTACTTTGAAATCGTTCGAGCTGAACCATAGATGCCAACATGACGCTCTAATAGAGGTAGTACATCCTGTTATTACTATGTCGATCCCC